AACAGCAGCTGGTGAGGGCCTGAAGCAGGCTCGAGGTGTTTAAAGATCTGAGTTGGGCCACCATCCCTACTGTCTTCAGCCAACACATGGGTTTGCATTCTCTCCAGTGGAGGCCTGGAGAAAGCAGAACAGAAGCTGCCTGCTCAATGAGGCATCCTGAACGGTGCGGGAGAGGAGGCTCCTGGACATGGGATACCTCTGAGAGAGCAAGTGCAGAGATGGGAAACGTTAGGTAATTAAACTCTGCTGGCCTGTCCCGCCTGGGGAACGTGAGACCCATCAGCAATAACTTCTTCCAATCAATTTAATTGGCCCAATCTCGCCAAGAAAAGCAACAGAATTGGTTTAGTGCCTCATGGAAATAGCTTGGCTCCTGACTATTTATGGCCACTGAACTCTAGGATGGGGGCCTGATGCTGAGCCAGGAGTTGACAGCGTGTGCTAACTTCTGGAAAGACTCCGAGGTTTCAGCAGCCTCTCGGTGCCTCCATTCTTGCCTCTGGGAAAGTGGCTGTGTCCAGCTTGCTGCATGGGCTCACAACATTTCCCAAACCCAAAACCCAGGCCCTCCTCCTCCCAGGTGGACTCTTGCCTGCCTGGCCATCACAGACCAGAAGCAAACAGACCTTGCAGTAACTCAGGATGGCTGGATTTTGCTCCTCTGGTATTCAAATGGTGGCTATGTCCAGGACAACTACTCTGTTCTCTGTCCTCAAACTCACATTTGCTTGGGCATTGTAGTCTGCATAGCTGATGTTTAAAATTAGGAAAATGCCTGTCCCTGATCATTAATAAAACAGATTCTTGAGCTATCTTTCTTCTGCATAGATCAAAGACCTTTCAGCTTTCCAGCAACTAGAATCTAGGTCTGGCTGCCTCCAGGTTAGGGCTGAGTAAACCCAGGCAGCCATGCAAAAGTCTTGTTTACATAGTGGATGGCAGTAGGGCTGGGATGAGCATGAAAGATGTGTATTAATTAGCTCACAGTGTAGAGGGGAAGCGGTAGCGGCTTCATCTTCATGACTTACGTGCCTACTGGCACCTGTGTTCAGATAGTTCAATTCGTTTTGTACAACTAAACACACCCAGTTTTGACGAGGGAAAAAAACCCTGAAATTTCATCTTCATTGAGTCATTATAGATGTTGCTGTTTTTTACAAAGAGGGAGAGAGAGAAAAAGAGAGAGAGGGAGAGAGAGAGAGAGAGAGAGAGCGCAATTAGAAAACTTTTCCAAAGTCACACTGTTCCAGTGTGGCAGGATTTTACAGAATCAAGGCTCTTCCAAGGGCAGTCTCCCGCCATCGCGTCTTCTGACCTACACCAACCCCCTCTCAAGGAGAGGAATTTCCCATCAAAACAACATAGAACCTCAAAACACAGCAGCTATGAAGCTGTGTTTAAAACTGTCCTGACCAAATGCCTTCTTGGGATCAGAACCTAATCAGAGGGAGCTCCTTATCACCTGGCCCAAGCAGGCAGCTCCATGCACATCACAAACACTCACCCTGCTCGGGTGTGAACCCAGCCAGTGTCACCCTCCCTCATCCCTAAGCCTACAGCCCTTTGTATACACATCAGAGCATCCAAGACACTTCTCACAATGCACCCTCTCACCAGCGCCAGAACCAGTCCCTCCTGCACTCCTGGTTCATTTCTTGCCAGTTGCTTTTCCTGCAGCTCTCCAGCACCTGCATACACAGGTTAGTTCCACAGAGTCCAGGAAACATCAAAGAACAAACTCTCTCAGCCCGCATCTTTCCGGATCACTTCTGCCCCCTTCTCTGGCTCCACAAAGGAACTCTCATTCCTGCTAGGAAGGGGCCCTGGGCACTGTCACCATGGCCAGCCTCCAGCACGGGAGGGGAACCTGCGTTCAGATCTACCTTGCAACACCCTCCCACTCCCAGCCCACACGCCCTACAAGCAGCAGTCACACTCCCAGCTCTGGGACCCAGTGCACAAAAGTATCCACCACCCCCTGTCTTTATGACTGCTTTTGTCAAAACCACAGATACAACTCGAGTCAGCGTCGCTTTGTCCCCTAAGATCCACAAACATCCCTAGAAACTGAATTATAGACCTTGACGAAACCTCAAGCAGCAGTATAACAGCAGCAGTCAGCTGAGCTCCAGAAGGAATTTTTTCCAGGGCACCGTGCCATGCCTCAGTACCCAGCAGTAGGCTGAGCATTTAGTAGACTTTCATTCATTTTAATTGATGAAAAACATTAATTAATAATAGTGGATTCTGCTACTCAATATGAAAGCCACTTTACAACATATCACACACATCCCTGTCCCTGAGCAGACAATAACTTCATCCACACACTCTCATCTGATGCACACACCTCTTATCCCCCACCCAGTGCCAATACAGAAGGACCTTTCCCCTTAAGCCTAAGCCTTCTTCCACTCCCTTCTCTGGGAAGGCTGGGAGAGAAGAAAAGCAAATAGCAACCCAGCATCCCCACCGCCCTGGGCCTCTCTAGCACAGGTGTCTGATTCTCTGTCTCCCATGTGCCCCAGTGTCACCCCAGCCAAATTTCCCAGCATGAAGTTCACATTCTGATCCCCCCAGCTAATCTTTCCCCACCCCCTACGCACCTCTTCGTTAATAATCCTCAGGCACCCAAGCTCCCACAGCGACCCCCCCCCCGCACCGCACCCACTCCACGTGTCTGTGCAGGCGTGCACCCGCCATCTGTCTGCCACACACTGCACCCCTCCTGCTCTGACTCCCTTCCCAGGTACCGATGCCTCATTAACTACACCTATATTCCCACCAGCTCTCATCTCCTGCAGCGCACACAGATGCCCATCTGACAGACTCCCTAGAAGCCCACGGCTCCCAGGCAGCGCCACCCCCCCCCCCCCCGACCCCACACACACACTGGCACCACACAGGCTGACTTTGGGGAAAACCTCCCCGACCACCCAAGGCTCTCAGTCTCCCGCAGGAAGGCAGACCCCATTCACACAGAGCCAGCTCCCACACAGTCCTCCTGTGCTCAGAATCTCCCACCAGCTTCCACCATCACACACCTGCAGACTCTGCCTTCCTTCAAGCTGTTTACAGGAGCTTGCCTGCCTCTCTCTCTCTCTTGCTCTCTCGCTCTCTTGCTCTCTCTCTCTCTCTCTCTCTCTCTCTCCCTGGGCTCACCCACGTCTGTGTGTTGCAGCCCCAGGAGCAGGCGGTTGGAGTTTATCTCCTCCTTCTACCTCTCAACTTTCTTTGTGCGACATGTCAGGCAGGCATGGGGCAGGAGGCGCGCAGGCTGAGTGTGCAGGCCAGTTTGAGTGTTATGACAACAGCACCAATAGGACATCGCCCTCCATATTCCCACCGTCTGCGACCTGGCGCGCAGGGCAGAGCGCTTCGGTGTTTCCCTGTTCCCCGTTTTTTTGCACCTCTTTATTAAAAAAGCGGCGTCCCTAGCATTCTGTACGCGCTGTTACAAACATCAGCCTCTGGCAGTGACATCCACCCCTGCTACACTTCCCTCTCCCCTGCACCCCGTGCTCCACCCTAGCCCCCACCACCAACACAAATAAACAAGTCCTCGGGCGCAAGGTCTCCGAGCTTCCCAGCTCAGGCGCTCGGACTGCGTCCTAGGAGCAGAACGTTGGCGCGGCCTCTGAACCTGTCTCCCGCCGCCAGAGTCTCCGCCAGGCGCTCAGTTCGGCATTCTCCACCAGCCTGGAATCCCACCCGAGTCAGGGTTTCAAGGAAAAGGGTGGTTTCTAGTCCACAGCCCCACACCATTCCGTGCAGGGGTCTCGGAACCGTGCCTGTGAAGCGCAGATGAGAAGCGCAGCAACCAGACTCCTGCGAAGAAGCAGCGCCTCCTGGACACGCACCCACTGGCGCCCGGGAAGGACCCTAAGAAGCCCCCTCCCCTAGTCCCAGCCCCTCGGGCCCCCTGCCCTTCCTTCCTGCCCCCTCGACTTCCAAGAGTCCCCAGTTTCCCTGGCGGCATCCACCCCTGGCTAGAAGTCTGGGGACACGGGGCCAGTTGGGTGGTTAGCAGGTCCTTTTAACTCCGACTTAGCTCCGCAGATCCCCGGTCTCTCAGCCCCCCTGCACCACTGCTCAGGTTCCTAGAACCCTCTCGGAGAAACCGCAAGGAAAGTCCCAGGATGGCCCAGCCTCGGGGCCCACCGCTCCCAGGCGGGGTCCCAGATGTGAGGGCCTCGCGCGGAGCTCCGTTTGCGCAAAGGCCCGGGATCCGGTCGCCTCCGGGTAGGCGCGGGCGAGCCTCCAGCGCAGCCTGACTCCAGAGCAGGTAGGCGGCGGCGGGGCCAGGAATCCCATCTGCCCCAAGTGGGAAGCGCCCACCGTCCCGGTACGGAGCTGCTTGTCCCCTCCCCCAGCACACAGAGCGGCAGCGGTGGCGGTGGGGCGTGCGGAGAACCGCGCGCGGTGGCCGGCGGAGTGCCGGGCGCGTGCCAGGAGACTGCGGCGGCACCTTCGCCTCCTCCCCGCCCAGGGTCTGTCTGCCACCCCCTTTTGTTACAGGGTGCACAGTACGCCTTCTCGGAGGAGCAGATGCAGCTGGAGGGCCGGCGTGGTGGCTCTGCGAAATCTCCTGCTCTTCCGTAGTCCCCATTTCGCCTTGCCTCCGCCCCCCACTCCCTTTCTAATCCAGGTCCCTTAAACCTGATCACTTTCCCAGATTGAGGGCGGTTTCTTGGGCAGCCAGGGGACGAGAGGGAGGCGGAGGTGGGGAGGGGTGTCCGTGTGTGTGTGTGTGTGTGTGTGGTGCCTGAGTGAGGGGTGGGAGAGGATGGTTGCGCCTCGGCCTGGGCAGATCCCAGCACAAACTTTGGGGAAGGCGCAAGCCCGGGAAAGTGAATGCGTGCGGCGCGATGGGGGTGGGGCGCACTGCGGGGCTGTCCCCCTCCCCACCCCCACCTCCGCCCCGCGCAGGTCCACGGGGAAAATCCCGCCGCACGTGCGCCCCCCGGACCTGCCCACCCAAATTGCTCGCCGCCTCCCCTTACCGTGGCAGAAGTAACCATGGCATCCGTGTGACTGATTCCAGGGACGTCGACATGAAGAGAAAGGTGGACGCGAGCTGGGTCATCCAAAGTCTTCCCCGACCCCGCCCCAGCCACCACCCAGCAGGAGGAAAAGGAGAAGAAAGAAGAGGGAAGAAAGTTGCGCCGGGCTCTGTCGCGGGGCGGTGCGCGGAGCTGGTCGGTAGGGAGAGGAGCCTTCAACTCTGAGTCCCGTGAACATAATCTGCGCGGTTATAAGCAGCCAACCCGGCCAGATGGCTCCGCGCTCAGCGCCTTAACCCCTTGCGCGCCGCGCCTCCCGCCCCCGCACCCGGTCCGCTGCACACCCAGCGTGCCCGCGCCCGGGCGCCCTCGGACTTGGCTCTGGGGGCCATTAAGGGAGAAGGGGTCCTGTCGCTTAGCTTCTCTTAAAAAATAAAGAAGAAAAACCCCTAGAACTTCCAAATTAAAAGTACTCTTCAGTGCTCCACCCCCACCACCGCCCCCTTAGAGATCCTGGAAAAAACGAAACGTTTCGTTTATCACTACATTTTCCGCGTCAGTGTCTTCTGCCTTATTTGTCCTTTTTCTGGAAAATGTTCCTTTTAATCTTCTTAGTTTTTCCTTTTAATTATAAAAAGGCCTTCCCTGCCCCCGTCCCCAGGGGGACTGGGGCTGCAGCACCCACTCCTCCACCAAGCCCCGGCTCTCGACAACTCCAGATCATTCCCCACCTTCTCCTCCCCGCACCCCGCAGCGCGCACACGCCCAAGGGCCACCGTCCCCCGTGCGAAAGCGCAGCTGCAGGGGACCGGCACCCAAGGCGCGGTGCGTGCGGCCCAGCGAGGTCAAGCCAGTGAGGCGGGGGTCCGGTGGGCAAGGGAAGCGAGGGAGGGGCGGCTGCGCGTGTGTGTGCGCGCGGGAGCGTGGAAGGGCAAGGGGGCTGGCTCGGAGCCTCCCACCTCACCCAAGCCCCTGGCTTCCCAGCTCGGCTGGGCCCTGCAGTGAGCACGCGCCCCACACCCACCCGTCTGCTGTGCCGGGCGCAGGCGAGGCAGCAAGCAACAGACTTCTCCGTGGCGCCCCCGGAGCCGCGACGCTCACCTCCTCACCCCAGCTTCACTCGAGGAAAGGATGAGGTGGGGGTGGGGGGAGACTCTCCACTGGGAGATAAATTTAGCCGCCCGTTGGACCCCGGTCACGCCGAGTTCGCTCCCTCTAAATTTACCGAGTTAAGTCATCTTCTTTCGCCCATTTGCCGTCGAGAGGAGTGGGGAGGAAGACCCATTATTAGGGATCCACGGGGAGTGGAGCTTTACACCCTCCCCCCTGTCCTTTACCCTCCCAGAGTCGAGGCGAGGCGGACCCGGGCCCCGGCCTCGGCCGAGCGCCCTGCGGCGGTTTCCAGCCGGGACCTCTGGACTCCCGCGCCCCGGGGTGGGGGTGGGGGAAGGGGAGCGAGCGAGCAAGGATCCCGTCACCTCCCCACCCTGCCGGTGGAGACGTCGAGTAAGCAACCGCTCCGTGGTGCAGCCCGGAGTCTGGTTTTGAAAACTCCCCTTTCCTTGGAATTGTTTGTGAATTTGGCCGCACACTGAGAAACACCGTAGCCGGACGCAGAAAAGGAGTCGCGCTGGGCCCGGGAGGGGAGACAGGGAAGGTTGCGGGTCTGGGGGCTGCCTACAGGATAGGTTGTACCTGCCTCATCATTATCCCGGCCGATGGAGGTTGCCACATGGAAAAGGGCCAGCAGCGCCCGCGGAGGCCCAGGGGCGTCACGTCGCGCCGCCCCACGGGAGGGCAGGGTCCCCCTTGACTCTGTTCCCTTGGTGCCAAAATATCGCCGTCTTCCTGCGGGCCCTCCGCCCCGCCGCGCGGCACCATGAAGGTTTGCGTGGGGCGTCTCGGCTGGGTCTGGGTTTTCTCCTTCTCCTCTGGCCCGCCTCCCCGCCCTCCCCCACTTCCCGCACTTGCCCCCTCCCGCCCCCCGCCGCCGGGGTCAAAGGAGGAATTCAGGCCCCAGTTGGGGCTCCTCTGGCCGAGTTCTGGGGCTCTTATTTCTCTCTCTCTCTCTCTGTCTCTCTCTCAAGCCTCAGGTCCTCCGGGAACCTGAAGGTGGCAGGGCAAGAAGTGCTGGGCTCCGCTGCAGCGAGGAACGGGTTAAATGCATGTGCGGGCTGATCCGCCTGCAGCTCCTCGGTCACTGGCAGTCTGGAGGGAGGAGGGGAAGAGGGGCAAGCTTAAATTCGAAAACTCAAAAGAAAAGACGCAGAGGAAGAAAAGGCAGCCCGGTTGAAGTCTCGGATTTGTTCTGCAGATGCCGTGCACTGGCCGGCCGCCTCCCTCTGCCGGGAGGTGGATCGCAGAAGACTCTGTATTGTTTCCCAGCTCTGGGGAGCCGGTGGGTCTGCCTCTGCGTGCAGTCAACAGGCCTTGTAATATGAGAGGTGACACCTTAATCTTGCCAAATATGTGCGATGTCTTTGGGGGAGGGAGGGAGACCCGGACTGAAGGCTGGAGTGCAGGATGTGCAAGGACTGGTTTCCCACGTGGAGCCCACAGGCCCGTGTCTTTGTGCTAGACCTGCCCCACGCGATGTCCCGTGAGCAGGCAATCTGCACTTTGCTGCCCTTCTTTCTACCTCCTCTCCTCTCCCCTCTAAGGAAGCTGGAGGATGGGTTGCACCCCCATCCCCCACCCCAGCCCTTCCTCTGGGATCCTAAGACCCTGGCAGAAACATCAGCAGAGGGGTTTCATTTTGAAAGACAGCATAGACGATGATGGGCTGTAATGCAGAGTCGGTGTGGAGCTGCAGAACGTGCTGACTTTGAAGCCAATCTGTGTTTCTAAATAGAGGTTTTTCTTTTTGATGGACCGGCTGTAGCGGTATAGATAGAAAGCAAAGGGCAGAACTGGGAGATAAACTGCTGAGTTCATGCCTGGGAGCCTGTGCTGGGGACAGAAGCCCCTTGCTAGGTCTGTTTTGATCGGCTAGGTAATTGCCTCTCCAAGCTGGCTCTGTGGTCAAGGCTTTGGCCCTCTATCTGTTGACTGCATTTTTAGGTCGCTTGCTCCCTGCTGCATCCAAGGGTACGGCCTCGATTCCTGAAAGTTGTCGGGAGAACAGGACCCACATCTAGCTTTTGAAAGCCCTCTTTCAAACTCTTTCCCACAGCAACTTTCTGGAGCTTGCTGGCCACTCACCCTTAGCTTTTGTAATAGCACCACTCTGTGGTTGAAACGCTGAACAGAAACAAAATGAAAATGCTGGCCGAGTTGTGCCTTCACCTTGGAAGGGGAACATTTCTCACAGGTTTCTTCCAGTGTATCGTGTGTGTGTGTGTGTGTGTGTATGTGTGTGTGGAGGGGGTGGGGCCCAGCATGTGGCCCTGGAGGGGGCTGCAGGCAGTAGCAGCAGCATGTGCTTAATTCATTGCTACATGTTGACCCAGGAAATGAGAACTGGACCGAATGGCCTCCCAGGACACTTTCCTCTACCACCACACGTGGCGAGGGCAAGCTGGGTTATTCTCCCCACCACCACCCCGCCCGGGACCCTGTAACTACCCTTGCGTGTGTGCCGCCTTCCACTGCTGTGGCTTTGGCTCTCCTTGGCGATGACGGAAACACACCCCGCACCTTAGCTCAAGACCCAATGTCTGTTCTGTTGCTGGAGGGTACAAGGAGAGGTTCGGCAGAAGGACTGCGGTTCCCTTCTCCCCACCCCACTGGCTCAGGCAGCTGCTGTAGCTGCTGGGGCCCAGAAGTCTGTCTGGTAAACAATTAAAGGGAATGCAAAAGGTGTTTGCACTCAGACTGCAACCCTCAGGGTCCACAAAGCCTGCTTCATGCTACCTGGGCTCTGGCTGCTCACCCATTACTGCACTCATAGTGACTACAGCACCATTAACGGAGAGATGCACAGTCTTTTGGGCCCACGAGCCCCTCCCTGAAGGCCCCAGAGCCCAGTGATGCTTTTTCCCCCAAAGAAGGTGTGGTCATCCACAGAAACCAGGTGACTTGTCCATGTTTGTTATAGCAAGCCCAGGGTTTTCCCCCAAATCTGTGTCCTAGGCACCAGTCTTGGTCTCTTAAACAGAGGTGACATTCTATGAGCCCCTGTGTCCCCACCCTGTGCCCCAGCCTTTGGATCACCTCCTCCAGGGCACCAGAAACAAACAAACAAAATAACCTAGTGACAAATCATCGGGGACTGGAATTCACCAGAAATGTGGATTTTTGGAATCAGACAAATTTGAGTTCATGCTGGTTCCTCCCTCCAGGGGCTCTGTGGCTTTGGACAGGTTCCTTAACTTCTCAGAACTGATTTGGAATTGGACAGAACAATGCCAGTCTCATAGGAGCACCCAAAGACCGAATGAGCTACTCTGAAACACCGTGCACAGGGCCTGGCCTGGGGTGAGCACTACCCCACACCGTTGGAGGCCCTAACCCTGCCATGCTCCTGCCTGGGAATCTTCTTCAGCAAGATGCTTGCCTCTGGAGTGGCCCAGGGTATAATTTGTTCTGCAAGGATATACATTTCCCCTTTGCACAAAGACAGCGGGAAATTAGAATGAAATGGTAGACATGTTTAGAATTTGTATGGCTTCCCAACGTGCACCTCAGAGAGGATGAAAGTCCTAGTGGAAGGATTTCGAAATCTCATCTTATTTATTCTCTGCCTTTCAAGCAGAGCCACCTCATCATTTACAAAGGGAATTCCATCACATCCTGCAACTCCTAACAGATTGCCTGGTCTATTATTGGTCTGTTGTTATTGCTAATTATGTTCTAGGGCTTACCTTGAACAATATAATGAATTACACTGAACAACAATGAATCAACTCATCTGGTGAAATAGTGTCTATATTCATAATTACGTTTCAAGAAATGACTCGTAATGATAGAGAGAAGGTATGTATTCCTACCACACAGGTGGATGTAGAAATCGTAATAAAGTCTCCTGTTCCACCAGTCATGACATCAATTCCTAACCACCCTATAAATTAACTTTATGCTGCACCAAACTCCACTCGTAAAAAAAATGACATTAAGGTTTCCTAGGTAACTAATGCATTTCCAGAGGGACTAGACCTCAGGAGACAAAAAGAGAAGAGTGGGGGAAGGGAAGTACAGAAAAAGAAAAAACTCTATAGGATTAGGCCTGTGTGACATAAACAAAATATTTCATGGGGAGGAACCCATAAAGTTTTATTGCCTGGGTTTGACATGGATATGGCATTGCCATTAATTCCTTCTTTGGGTCATAAACTACTCTGTGGGCTGTCCCTTCCATCTCAATGGCAGCACTTCCTAGTCCAGGTTCGCTTTCACAAAGATTGAGGAGGAGGCGCACCTGCTGATCTGCGCCCACTCAGCAGCCAGCTGACCCTTGAGCCTGTCACAGGTGTGAAGCCGATGGAAGGACAGAGCCAGGTTGATGTGGAAGTTTCAAAACGTGTGTGCTGAGGACTCTGAGAACTGTGGAGCAGGCCTGTCAGTTGAATAGAAGGCTGGGCCCGAGGGTGGTGTTGATGAAGTCAAGGGCCTGTGTCCGAACTCCCAACCCAGGGGCTTCTCCTGGCTGCCTTCATCAGGGGGCAAGGCCTCCATGGTGAAGAACAATCTGAAAGTTTAGGGAAATGGAAGGTCGCAGGTGGGGTGTAAAGCTTACATTTTTGCTGATCCCA